GTAATTAATTTTAATTAGCATTCACACTGGAGTGATCTGAAATGGTACGCCTTGATAGAAAATGTTAGTCATTGCTGTTAACTCAGAGCAGATGGCCATTTTTGTTTCTTCAAAGTATATGATTTACAGAACTTCTAGTAGATCTTTTCTATTTGAAAAATAGTGCATATATTCAAACCAGCCATTGTGAAATTATTGGTGTCTAAAATGGTAGACTAAGGTTGAATAAGCAGAGTGTGCAAAGTGGAGTTGCAGATTGAATAAGTAGAGAACATACAGTTTCATCTAAGGTTATCTTTGCTGATAGTTGGAGTATCTAGATTCTGTTATTTTCTCCTTTTTTCATTTGAGGTGACTATTTATGAAACCCATATTCTGTATTATTTCAATTTCAATCAAATAAGAAATACCTAAGAATTGATTTTTTTGTGTTTTTCATGGAATAAAATTGGGCCAATTTGCATTTGATTCTAGATTTCTAATGTTGATTTCAAATCTGCTTCCATCCTAATAAAAAGATCAGATGCTCCCAAATAAATAATTTGAGATAAGCACAGCTTTTTGTAATCCCTGTAAAAAGAATATATATTCCTTTATCTTTTAGTCTGTGAGTAACTTCACTTGTGTCAGTGCAACTGCTGAAGTTAAATGTAGATTTGTGTTCTTTGGAGGATTAAAGTAGTTTATAGGCTCAATTCTGAAAAAAATCACCAGTATCTTTGCTGTGTAATGGCTATTCTGTCTCCCCCCGTATTGGCAAGAATAAATACCTTTTTCAATTAATCTTGGTTTGTATTTTCTCTCTATAAAAGGAAATTTAATGCACACACACTACATCTCTGTCTATTGAAATGTTGCAGATCCAATGCAATCTAAAAGCTGTCTATGCGTATGGTTAATATGTGGATATGAATTAATATATGTGCACACGTGTCAACTGGGTTTGTAATGTGCCTGCAGTGGTTGCCCTTAAAATCTTTGCAGGTTTGTTGGAGATAACTGTTTAACCTTATCTTAGTAGTAAGAAATTACAAGAGATACAATCCATCTTGATGTCTAGCCGTGGTGTGTGCTCAGAGAGCAGCAGTTCTGATGTGCAACCACTGTAGAGGGAAACCCACTGGAATTGCCTCCACTGTGGCAACTAGAAAGTTCTCTCTTTGTGATTTTCAGTTGTGTGTCATTCACTTATTGGTCCTAGATTGTATAGGTCTGCTGGTTTATAGGCAATCAAGTCTTTCCTGTGCAGTGCTGACAGCCCAGGCTTCAGGACTGGTGGAACAGTCACTTGCAGCTGGGCTCAGTCTTCAAACTTATCTTGTATTTCTCTGTTTCCTCTTGTGCACTTTCAAATACCTTATTCCTGTCCTGTTAGGATTCTTTTGTGATAGGAGGAGTTAAAGAAATACCTATGGACAATGTAAAGGTCCTTTCTGCAAGGCCATGAAACATGTGGGGGAAAGGAATTCAGTCTACTGGAAACCAAGGTGTTAGTAAAGTGAAGAAGTTGTAGGGTAAGCAAAGTTACAGCTGGGGGTCTGCTGGGCTTTGAAGTAATGGGCTTGGCCAAGAGAAGGCGTGTACTGACTGTGGAACCGTTCTGGAATTGGAATTGATGCTTTTAGCCCAACTGTCTGTTCATCTCCATAAGCAATTGTGTTGTATTTTTTCTGGAATGCAGTGCCAAGTTGAGGTTTATTTATCTAGACTATAATAAAATCTGCAGATAACAAATGGTAACCTTTTGTATTTTTCGCTCTGGAAAATTGCAATATTATGTTGGTTTCCAATAGTACCCCTATAGATATATTTTCATGTGTTATGCATGATATAAAATTACAATGGTGAGACTCTACAGGAGGAAGTGGTAGGTCGATGTGGTATATGCATATAACTTTGCACAGTTTTCCCATTTCTGTGTTCACATTTAAAAAATGTTAAATATTCAAGGGAAATATTACACAGAAATAATACTTCTAGGCATGTTCCCATTTATTGTATCTGTTTTGTTTCTGAAGTCCCTTAGGTTATAAATATCAATAAGATTTGTATTGTTGAGAGCTCATCCTTTTGGTTTCTGGTATCCTGTGTTCTATCATTCTCTTTGATGTATAACATCCCATTTAGCTGCTATAGAGATGACAATGAGAACATGACTTCACAGTATTCCATATGGAGTAGGTAGGTGAGGACTGAGTAGTAACTGTTTCTGTGCTGATATCTTCAGCAATTTGAAGAAGTGGGAGAGAGAAGAAAACAGAAAATCTGAATTGTTTTCAAGAACGTTTTTACAGCTTTCCATGAGATGCCAGTGGATTCCTAATGAGTAAAACATGTTAATATGTTTTTGTAAGATTCCACTGGTAACAGAAAAAGGACACACTTTTTTCAGAAGTTACTTTGGCTTTTTTTTTTTCATTTGAAAAGTTCCTGTGCCTATCAGCCTTTCTGGAAGAAAGAATGGCAGAGGAAGTCTAGTAGCAAGGAAGCTACTAAGAGAGGCAAGCATCCCTTACTGTAAGATTCCTATGAGTTCTGGCTCAGGGCGTGCACCCCTCGGTTCCTCTCGTGTGCTGAAAGTCGTGCCTGTGGCAGTGGAGTAGAATTAGCTCCACTAAAGTTGTGGAGCTCTCAGATACTACAGGGAGAAGGGCCTTAGACAGCTGGAGGCATCAGCTGCTTGGCCATGAGGTGTCTCTAGACCTAGGAAAAGTCTTGATACAGAGGCAGGAATGCAGGACTGTCAGCTCCTCCTGTACCAAGCGGTTGCCTAAAATCCCTGCTCGTACAGCTACGCTTGTTGTAGCAAGTCACAAAATGCCAAAAAGTATAATATATGACATGACAGTCCTGAAACAATGTTTTTACAAGCTGGTGTCATGTTGTTTTGCTCTTGCAGATAAGTGTTTTTGGAACTTCCCTATCACTATGTTTTACAGCCTTTATTTGCTCTATTGTTATTTTTAGTCATCTTTTCTGAGAGTACCATTTCACCATTTCAGCTTCCTATTTTTTCAAAGTTATAGCTGCTTCGTTAACTTAGCCAAAAAGCTTATCTCAGTACAAGCTTCTCCTAACAATAAATTAAAGCATTTTCTTTTCTGGCAATTTCATTATGCTTCTCTCTTTTTTTTTTTTTAATTGAGTTCTTTGTATTGTTCAGCAAATGTTGACTCAGAGTTTCACAATATTGCAAATTGAATAAAATTTGGGTGTTTTGTCATCAGTTTAAGGTAATGACATTTGAGGAGGTCATCAAGGCTATTATTTGCATTAAGGCAGGATTAGTACTTTCGGAGTCAGGGAAGAAAAAGGATTAATTTTAAATTTCTTAATCAATAAAAAAAAATCCATAGAGCTTTCAGTCGTTCATACAGTCAGTGGTTTTGCCTAAACTGTGGGATCTGACCCTTTAATGTCTCTCTGTGACCTTGTGGGCTGTTTTCTCTGGGAAGGAAGTGCGGGTGTGCTCCTCTGACCAGCACTGAAACCTGCTCCGGTGACATCTCCAGTCTGGATTCTTGAAGGGAGTAGTGCAAGCCTGGTGCTGACTGCTCAGAGTTAGCCATTGAAATTGGTGAGAATTACATCACCAACATATGGAAATCTGAGTATGTCCTTTATTGTTTTGCAGTTTTGAATGCAATTTATAAGCCTGCTAAAAATACCTGATGTCTCTCTCTTCAGAGGTGGGTGTGCTCTGGCTGCCGTACTGTGGTTTCATGGCTGATAATTTAATGATTAGGTGTCATGGCTGGTTCATGCTCAGATTCAATTACACTTTTTTTATCTGTTTCCTGAAACTCCCTCTAAAAAGCAAGGCTACGAGCTGCCTGGTGACATTGTTGGTAAGGGAGAAGCACTTCTGTGAGTGGGAATTACATCAACTCGGTTGCGTTCCAGCAGTGTGACAGTGAAATCCCACCAGTCCCCAAATGCTAAAGAAATTTGTCTAGGCAGTGACAATAATAGTTTTATTTTCTGGTTCTATGCGTATTCAGTTTCTTTGCCCCTCAAAATATGTGGCAAAAATGACCTCTGTAGTTGCATCCCCTTGTCATTGCTGTCTTTGAGAGTGATCTCCATCAACCCCCTCCTCCATAGTTTGCTAAGGGAAGAAAACAGTCTGGTTTTAATGGAAGGTTGACTCTTGTGCAACTTTTAAGATCCAGCAGAATGTGGTTTCCTAACCTTTGTCAGCTAAGCTTGTAGCCTTTCCTAAAAAGACTGCTGGCTGACAAATTTACGGTGATCAGGTCTGTGTATAGAATTTGAATTCAGAAACTAATGGCTAAACCGTAAGGGGAAAATCTGTTCTGTTTATTGGAGAATTTTCAAGTACCACCTTGCTATATACGTATTTTTCCTCTTTTCTCTTTTCTTCCATTAAGTGATTCCTTGTATTTATCTCATTATCTGAATTACCTGCAAGAGGTATTATTTAAATGTGTCCCAATTTTCTTACTACGATGACGGACATCAGAGGTTTGTTTTGTTTGTTTAAAATATCTGATTATCATTACTTTTTTTTCCCTCTCTTTTACTAATGATGTCCAAAAGCTAAAAAGGGCACATAATGCACTCAAAGGACTTAACATGGGAACAAGTTGTATCAGTAATTATTTTGGTATTTATTGGTTACAGCAACAATCTGTCACAAGCTGTGCAGTTATTTTGGCATGTCTAATGTGTTTGTCCTTTGCATCACAACAGCCTTTTTTCCCTAAAAATGCTCTGCTTTGGCAAAAGCAGGAAAATTGATTTTAAGTAGTTTCATGGTGCTTTTAGATGATTATTATTTCCAGAGCTGTGCTGTAGTGTTCTAAGATATTTTGAAGTATTCCATGTAATTATTAAACAAGCACCTGTCTCATAAACTCTGCTGTCCAAAACAATTACCAAGTAATTTCTGATCCCGAAGGATTTTTAATTTAAAATGCTGTGTGCATGATACAGAGTAGTAAAATGCTAGTTTTACAATGTGGTGCTCTTTGTTCTAGGAATGTTTACAAGGATTACCGTTTCCTTGAGCTAGCCTGTGACTCCCAAGAGGAGGTGGATAGCTGGAAGGCATCTCTGCTACGAGCCGGTGTCTATCCTGATAAATCCTCAGTAAGTTAAACAGCTCACTAGTTTGCCAGTAGCTGCTCTGTTTGAGTCAGAAAACACAATTGTATCATCTGGGAAAACACCATGTCTGCAGATATCTCAAGAAAGGGCAGCCTTTTCATTGCACTGGTCTGTGGCAGTTGCGAAATATTCATAATGAAATATTTTAAGATCAATTTGTGCGTCAAACCTCAATGCAGGGAAAAAAAAGCAACCACAAACCAAACCTTCCAACATGTTTTTCATTGGATCTGTGTAGTAAAAGCGTTGAGCAATTTGGGGTTTCCTGAGCTTCATTGTTTCTATTAATGTTTTCTAGAGGTAAAGATGTGCTTTGAAGAGTTTATTCCCCCAAGCTCTGTATTACAGAACTGACAGAAGCATTCCAGGCAATCATGTATATTTATTTTACTGATTTGCTGCATGCTTTTTGTGTATGAAACACATGCTAAACCTTTCCAAGGGCTGTTTTACTCAGCTAATCATCATGTGAAGCAAATTGAACAGGATACAGTAAAAAAGCCTCTATTAATTCACCAGAAATGACAGAAAGTTGGGAAATGGAACATGTCCAGCTACCATTTCATATTTTTTGGACCTAGATTTCTTGATGCTTTACATCAAGTGAAGGTTTGAGGAGATATATCCAGAGGGAAGGCTGACTAACAGGAAAATCTTGTCATTGGAGCTTTTGGAGTTTCTCTATTGCACAGTTCACCTTTCTGCTGTCAGGCTGCTGCTCTGCTGGATTCCTTCAGTGGAAGATTTCGGAGAAACGATGCTTTGATTCTGATTGAATTTGTCCTTTTTCCTGGTTGTTTTCCATGGTCCCTTGTGTTCAGGGTCTTCTGCTGTCTTCTCTGTTCATCTTTCTCTTCCTCATATTTCCTTTATACTTGTGATGCCTGCATGGCTTCCAGTACAATTCTGTCTGCATCTCCTCCTGCTGCTATTTAAGCAAACAAGCCTCAGCTTCCTCTCTTCATACCAGGTCTCATGGGTACCATCAGAAGATAAATAAGAAATCCTTGAACTGCTGGATTTTCCAATTATTATAGAAATAAACAGTGATTATGATGATGATAGATTTTTTTTTTTTAAGGAGCAGTGAAAATACTCATTTAGCAGGAGACCTACCAGGTATCTGAGACCTTTAAAAAAATTTTTAAAAATTGCTGACTTTTCAGTATGTTACCTGTTCCAGTAGATTGGTTCCTACCTAAGACTATCAGGAGTAATTTTTCAAGGATTGGTTGTGAGAAGTTACCTAATTAATTACTAGGAACAAAATATTGTATTGTTTTGGTTTTTTCTTACTCAAGTTTTAATGATGACGTCATAAAGCCTGTTGCTGCCTCTGGTTTAATCTTGTATTCTGTGATGGTTGTATCATAATTCATATATTTGTTACTTTATCCTTAAATAAGACAGACTAGTTGGATTTCTAAACTTCTCTTCTGTCTTCCTGTCTCTCCCTTTCCCCTAAAAATACTTGGTATTCAAAATATGTTTACAAAGAATTCTTGGTTTTGTTTAAAGTTGGTCTGTCAAAGGAGTCTTAGATGCAAGATGAGAGACTTCCTTGAAAGACAGAAGTAGAAAGAAGTCAAAATAAAGTTCTCCTTTGAGCTGGAATTATCTTTACGTTATAAAAAGAGTGAATATTATTGTTCCAAACCCCTGTAGTTTGGAATTCACTCAGTAGTCTATCAAGCTGTTCAGGAGAGATGCTCAGTGCTACTCTAGTCTTCCAGAGCTTTATTCCTACAGGACTAGAGGTCCAAATGTGGACTGTGAGTCTGCTGTTAGGGTTTTGAATTTTGCAAAGCAGAATCTAAAAGGCCCCAGGTACCCTAGAAGCTCCAGTGGAACCTAAATAAAAATGAGCAGCGTTTCATTCAAGTCCTATGCGTGCTTCTCAGGTTCACACCTTCCTCTGACAATACAGAAAAGGCTTAAAGACAACCCTCAGTCTTTTATTCGCCTTCGAAGATTTAGAGGCTGTGTTTTTAAGTATGAGAGACTGCCAGGAAATGGCAGCAACTTTTTACTCCAGTGCTTCCCCACAGCTTTGTGATCCCGGAGGTAAAAAGGCAAAGAGGTGCCCAAGCCCCTTCCCAGACTGACCTTCTCGCTCGCTCTCGTGTGCGAGGCACAGCTGGGAACTTCTGAGTATCCGAGGCTTTGGCACCAGCAGTAGAAAAATTGCTGCTTAGAAATGAAAAATAGATGGGTATTGCTGTGGAGCTGGAGCACTGCAGCGTGGGCTGGCCTGCTCCCTGGAGCTGCCGGAGCGTGTGCGCAGCCGGGAACGGGAAAGTGGAGCTGGATGCTTTCATTGGCAGCTCTGCTGCTCGTCCGCAAGGACCTGGTGTAAAACCCACAGCCATTGCCCCTAGCTGGGTTCCTTCTGCAGTGGCAAGAAAAGTAGGAATTTGTCACTGAATTAGAGAGTTTTGTTCTAAATTCTCAGCAAGGGCAAATCTCTCAACTAAGAATATTCATTTTTCTGCTGTTTTTTGTTGTTTTTTTTTTTTAGTAGTACTGCATTGATTGCAGTAGTAATGGGGCTCAGTACTTGCTGCCACTAATACGATGTCTCAGCTGCTAGTTTAATCCTGTAAGCTAAGTCCAGGCTTGTAGATGTATAATTTTTATTTTTGCCTAAACAAATCTCATTAATATATTAAAGGACATATATCACCCCTTTGCTCCTTTTCGTTGCTTAATTTTGCCTGCCTTCCCTGGCCTGTGCACGTGGCGATGCACACTTATGTTCATATATTCACTCTCTTGCTGACTATCTCTGATCACCCCTTAGTGTTGCTCCATGAGCCCCTGAATTCTTTTGCAGTTTGCCAAGTCACCTCTCCTTGCCACAGTCGATTTACTTTTGTCAGGACGTGGGCTTTGACAGCCACCCGGATAGCAATGAATCAGTGTTTTTATTTTTCCAACCCATATGCAAGTCAGCTTTCTTGATATAAATCACACTGTGGCCAATTCACTTTGAAACAGGATATCCATTTACCAGCTGACTTTACTGCAGGCTTTCTGGACTGATGCATCCAAAACTCTCCTTTTTTTTTTCTTCTTTTTTTTTTTTTTTAAATGACTACAACTTTGTGACTAACCTTTCCAGACTCTATTTCTCAACCGTAGGCTGGTGTTTATTTTGGCTGGCTTCCCACTGTAAAATATACACTGTTCATGCCAGCTCATGGCAAAACTCACAATTAAACTAAAATAATAGCACAGATGTTTGTCGTAACTTGCTCTGCACGCTCTACCTTGCTAGCACTGTCCATTCCTCCTTCCCCCCTCCCATAATGCCATCTCCTCCTTATTTTTATTACTAATCTAAAAATTCAATATTTGCATTTTAAAAAAGCTTTGGATCATGAAACTTTCCATTCATTGGCAAGTTGTAGGGAGTGGCTGTCATGCAGGGCTCAGCAGACATGTTTAGTGGGTTGCTTTGCGTACTGGAAGCTCAGTATTACCAACACACGAAAATCCCTCTGGCTTCCATCCCATCCCTAGATCACTTCAGGCCTCGTTTTCTTCTTTCTCATATTAGTGTCCACTGACTTCCCAGGCGCTGTTCTGACTGACACTGAAGGAAGCAAAAGTGGGATCAGAATGTTTGTGTGGAGAGGAAAACATTTTGAATGTTTTGAATCCCTTGCAAATGTCCTGTGTTCCCCTGGAAGCTCTCTAACTACGGGATTCAGTGAATGTTCCCTGAGTCAGTTCCTCATTTGGTTTGAGCCATTTCCAGAACTGTACAAGTTAGGCTGAATGCATGTAAAATAAATGTATCTAATATTTCTTTTTCTCCCCCTCTTTCCTCCTTGCTGCATCCTGCAAAGGGGAGCAACAAAGTAAGTTGGTTGTCCTTTTACAAACTACTTCTCTATCCTGTCACAAGGGTTTTGGCATGAAAATTGGTTTGTCTTGTGGTTCACACAGCTATTACCTGCATGCTCTTAACAGCAAACTACTATGAAAAATGGGAGTGCAAAAGTGTCTTCTACAAAAACTATTATGTACCCTTTGTTTTAATTTTGGGGAAGGAAAAGTATTAAGTGTTGCTGAGTGTTGCTTTTTAAGGGGGTTCAGTAAGAATGATACTATAAAAGTGTTGGACCCAAAGATTATGAAGGTATAGTAATAAAGACCTTCTGAGGAAAGGTTACTACAGTCTGGTGAAACTCATTACAGCTGGGTTTTTTGACCATACATCAAAGCTTGTATTAATGGGCAGTTATAAAAACCCAGCACTAAAGTCTTAAATAACAGATTTGCTGGTGTTGTTGGCTAAGCTGAACTAGATCAGTGTACTGGCTTTGAAGGTGCCTTAAAATGGATGGAGGAGGGTGGGGTCAACATTTGACTTGGCTTCTAGACCCTTGATGTGTTCCAGCTGGACAGCAGCAGAAGGGTGTGGGGTGTGGAGAGGGAGAACTGAAATATGCATGGTAGGGTTTTTTTGAAAGTAAGCAGCACATAAAAAGACAGTTTTGCTGATGTTGATCTGATAAACGAATAATACTGCGGTTCCCAGGATTTTTTATGCCATTTTTACTGAGCTTAAGAATGGAAATTGCACATCTCACACTTTGGAATAAGATGCAGAGAGATTTTGTCAGACCTCGGAAAGGAGTTATACAGCTTTTGTGCCTTCCCCCCCCCCCTTTCCTCTTTTGGTATATTAACACATAGGAAGATGAATCTGGAGCATCAAAAGATGCTTCACAGCAAATGTTGAAAGTAGCCTTTGAAATATTGTCTATAGCATCTCATTGTGATCTGTTGGGGTATTTGGGAAAGACCCAGGTGGGTTTTAAATGTTCTAAAGGTTGGTAATTTCTGTCTGCTTTTAATTTTTGCATTTTTAACCAGTTTTTGACCATGTCTGTCTCCACAGTGGCTGGGCTCAGAAGCACCAAAAATCTTCTGTTTTGTTGGCCTGCCTGGGAAAAGGGGCTCTTAGTGTTGGATGGGGAGGGGTTAAGAGAATTGGTGTATTGATGGCATGGATAGAGGGACTTCACATAGGAGGCGGTGTGAAATGTAAATGTTAGCTGTGTACACTAAAATGTCAAGGAAGTGTTTATAATGTTTCTTTATGACATGCTGACTTAAGGCTTTGCTGCTGCAGTGGATGCTGGTCTGATCTCAGAGGAGGGAGGTTGGACTGTAGATGCTCTGTCCAGGGAAATGGGGATGGATGGGACGCTGGAGAGCTCTTGGGACTGGCAGACACCGAGTCTGGAGGTCAGGAGTTGTTCGGACTAGCTCTGTTCTCCAGAGCCCTGAGCTATGGGGCACCCCTGGGAGGTCAGGACCTGTTGCATCTGACAGAATTAGCTGCTGGCATAAGACAGGATACCCGTAAGCAGGTATAGGGCAAACCTGTGAGATGTGAGGATTGGAGAGCTCTTGGCTCTTCTTTCACTCTGAGGAAGGGCATTTCTTGCTGTAGGTTCAGAGAGATTCTCCCTCTGGCTCAGGCTGTCAGCCAGAAGGTAACTCCAAAAGAAATCTCCAGGAAACCATCCTGATCCTTCTCTTTGACCCAGTTCCTTCCTTGTAAGGATTCCTGTATCTTCATCTGCGCACCTCCCCACCCTCCCCTTCTCTTTCACAGAGGCCATTCATGCTGGAGTCTGGAGGTTACATATCCCAATTAGACAGAATGAACTAACCTGCAGCTGCCTGTGGAGGCTCAAATCCCACAGTCTTCTTCTGCACTGGTGGCATGGAAAATGACATGGGTAAACCTGAGGGGTGGCCAGACAGTTTTTGAGAACGGGTCAGGAGAAGAGAGGAATGGCTGATTGAGGCTGATGGTTTCTCAGAGCTTCTTATGCAACTTTATGCTACAAAGCTGCATAATCCTTCCAGACTGTCCTGGTACAGATTTCCTGGGTTGCTACCAGAGCTGTAACCCTCCTCCTAGTGCTGCCCAGTGGGGCATTCATACTGTGCATCCTGTCCTATGTACAGTTGTCAAGATCCTGTACTCACCCATCCATTCAGACTGTGGCTGCTTTTATACTTCTGCCTTTAGCTTTGTACTCTTGGATTTACAAAAGTAAAAATAAACATTGGAGTAATGAATCCCTAAGAAAAAGGGGAGGAAGGGAAGAGGGTTTATAATTATCAGCAGACTAATAATAATTTTTATTTTTACATTTTATTGTTGCACAATCATTACTGTGAGATTTCTCACATGGTTAAAGATAAATATATCTTCAAAAGCTTTGTTGGATAAAATCTGCAAAGGGTCATGTCAAATGAGGTAATGGAGACCTACCTCATTCAGCAAGCACATGTTGGCAAGCCACATCTCACTAATATTAACACTGAACTCCACAGCCTTGTGCAGGGGAAGAGGGCAGAATTGCCCTGAGTTATGCAGGGCATTGTAGCTTCAGTCCAGGTACTGGAGACAGAGGAGCTGAGAGCTTCTGACTGTCTTAAGACACCATTGTGGATTTGCTGCTTCCCCTGTGCATCTTCTTCACCCTCATTTATCAAAAAAAATTCATGAATCCCCTCAAAACAGCCCTCCACATACTGCTGTTTGAAAACAACATCTCGACCTGTACCATTCTCACGAAGTCTATCTTCAGTGAGCTTCTAACCTTGTTAGGTTAAAGATTAGGTGGATGCTGTGTCCTTAGGAAATTTTGATTCCAAATCTCTTGGCACTCAAGCAATAAAACAGCAGCAACAACAACAACAATAAAAAAATCAAAATTCCAAAATGCCACTTCTTACTATAAAAGGTTACCTCTCCTTTGGCATCATTAAGTCCTGAGTTAGTGAATCATTTCTGCTTGATTTGAAGGATCAAACACTTAAATGCTGAGCTCAGACTTGAGGAACTTCAACTTGGAAAATGAAAATCTCTTTAAATTACTTTTTACGGATAAGTAACTATGAATTTCTTGCCTTCTGATTATTTTGCATTGCTGTGCTTGCTGATACCCTTTGCAGAATGTGTAGAACTGAAGTGCATAAGTCCTATATTCACATCTCAGAGTTGTCACAGTGCAGACAATGTGCATTAAAATGTTCACTGAATATAAAGTCAGTGTAATTTAGTCTGAATTTCCTCTTAGGAAAAACAGAGTCCCCTTTGGAAAGAGAAGGAAAATACTCTTCCTGTCAGGTCAGTTTGCCTGTTATTCCTTAAAATACATCTTGGTGACGTATTAATTGGTTAGATTGAAGCCGTTCTTTTTCTCTCTTTTTTTTCTTTAAGGAGAGTTAGTTTTACTAAATCCAGATTCCAGATCAACTACTTCATTAAGGAGTCCAGATGTCCTACTGTCTCTTGAGACAGTCCTGAAAAATGGGAACGTGGTGAAGTCAGGATACTCCTATTCTACCTACATATATGACAACATTGCTCTCAGTTCATGTATATCATGCTTGGCTATTACCATGTAAATGCAGGTGTAGTGCCAGAAGCCATCAGTATTGGAATAAAGCTCTGATGCTTTCTTTTCCAAATTCAGCCATGTTTCTGAAGGGGCTTCAGTTATCTCCCAGACATAAACTCTGACTCAGCCTGTTACTGGCTGTGATGATGCTCTGCCAGTGCCCCAGCCAGACTCAAACTGGAAGTGAGTGGTTCTGCTCTGAGATTGCTCAAGTCTGTGTTCGGGAGAAGTTCTTAAACTAGAAAAAATAAAGACTTGTTTGGGTTTGTTGAAAAGCAAACTGCTGATATGTCAGAGGGCAAAGCAGTGTAGACAGAAGTGTAAACTCTGCATTTACTGGGTTTACTTTTTTTAACTAGTGTATTTTAGAAAAGGAAGGCATTGAAGTCTAGGAAAAGAAGAATCCACTTCAGTTATGACTAAAATTGGTTTCAGGCCAACTAGGTTTAAAAATAACTTTTAAATGAAGTGTTAATTTTTTTTTTTTCAAGTGGGAAAAATGCCATAATTTTATAGACAGTGTTTCAGTCATTGCTTCGAACAGATGAGTTGGATTTTACAAGGCAGTCACGGTGTAAAGGAGCAGCCCAAGGGGCTGAGCGTGCATGCGCACACATGCTGGGTCAACAGCAGTCCAAAACACAGGGAGGAAAGGAAATGGCAGGCTGTTTTTCAGTCCCTTCCTCGCTGCCTCACTATTTCAAGGATGTGAAAACATGTTTCACATAAAAACTATCTTCTTGTTCTCCTAAATATTTACTAGTTCAAACAAAAACTAGACGAAAACCTTGTTCCCCAAATGCTCCTCGAGAAACAGAGCAGCCCTGGTTCACGTTCTTGTGAGAGTAAAATAACTGCTGGCACGAGAGAGTTAAAAATGTATAGGGAAAAAGAGGATTCATAGGATTGCATCAGTTGCCCTGACTGTAACAAGATGCAGGCTGACAGACAGAATGATTTCAAAACCAGTCCTGGTGAAGCTGGTAACTGCTGATCGGGGTTGGGGGTTCAAGAGCTGTCACAGGGTTTTACGTTTCTGCTCTTAAATGGGGCTGCTGACATTAAGCAAACTCCAGGAAATTTAGAAATGAGCAAACATTTTTTTATTTCTGTTATGTATTCACGGTGGGCTCTTTACTGTGCTTTTGGCAAGGCATCTGCATATTGAAAATATTTTTAAATTCTTCATTCTTTATGGTGCAGCTACTTTTTGTACTACTTCCACTCTGATGAGGGATTTTGTTGAAGCTCTGCAGGAATGTGAAAGCTCTCTGGTTGTGAAGTTTCAGTTCATGGAGTGTGAGTATCAGCCTCATTCTGGCCATTGTGAGATTTGCCCTGGGGAAGGTGCAGTGAAGGTGTCCAACCTGTAAGGATGCTTTCCCAGCCCCGGTCAATGAGCACTGAGAGTTGGCTGGTGGAGAGGA